ACCAGACCGCACTCGACTCGCCCGCAGCCATTGTCGACTACAGACACCAGCAACCCTCAATCGCACTTCAAGATGGCGTTGGGATCAGGAAACGACACTCCGCGACGTATGCGCCCCTTCCCGCCCCCCGGCACTGACTGGACCTTGACTTTCGGGCCTGGACTTGGACATGGACAATTCGCTGATCAATCCCCCCCCCTAAAACAGTCGCGACTCGCGAGGAGATGCGAGACGCCAAGGTCCCGCTGGCCTACCGAGACAGCTGCGCAAACCTGCTGATCCCGCTCAACCGGTGTCGCTTCGAGACCTACTACCTGCCGTGGAAGTGCGAGGTACGCAATCCCGCCCGCCCCGACCGACCGCATCGAACCCGCCGAGCCGAACCGAACCCAATCCGCCCCATCCGTAGACGAGAGAATCATCCATATGCTGACCTGGCTCTTCCCACAGGACGAGAGACACAGCTACGAAAAGTGCCAGTACGTCGAGTTCAAGAAGCGCGTGGCCAAGATGGACGAGTTGAGGGCAGCCAAGGGCGGCGCCCGGAGCAACTGAGGAACCAGCCCACTGCTGCGGGGAGACTGGCGGGCGCGCTACGATTGCCATGTATATACCAGGGAGGACGCCAGTGGACTGGTCGTGAAGATACAGACAGCAATGCATCACTCTCAAGCACCGACGGTCTCAAGCCGGCCGGCCCCATGCGCGCATTAAGAGAACGCAGATCGGTCGAGGTATGAGTGCCATTGAGCATGGATATAGAAGGTATAAGGACAAGAGGCCTACAGGTTGACATCTTGGTATCTTGTCGTTGACTCCAGACTGACCACCGATACTAAACTCACAGCGCAGCGAACTACTGAGGATTCGCGACTTGGAGGCGACGCAAGCTCCGCTAGCTGTGACGACCCAAAAACCAGCTCGCCCAACAGCACCACCGGGACACTCGACAAGTATGTTCGTCATGACCGATGATGGGCTGTGCTAGAAATTTCCGGAGAAAGCACACAACAGGTCAGCGCCCATCCTCCGGTTCGAAAGGCTTGGCCTGTTGAGGAACAGGATCCAAGCATTGCCCGGCCGGATTGCCGCCACGACGATCCGCTCTCAGCGCTCACGAGTTCCTTTGCGGGCTCTATCGCAGGCTGAGCCTATGGCGTATCAGGCCAGAAGAATGGGCTGTGCATGCACACCGATGGCCCACACGTCATCCCTTGCCAATCACGCTGCCTTTCACGGTTCACTATTCACAGCCTTACTTTTGCTCACTGCCTCTCATTTGACTACTCCCTCTTTTCAGGATCGCAGGAGAACACTGTAGCTTTGGTAGCCCTCAACTTCGACTTCTCTCTGTACAAAGTCCAAGCCTCGGTGGAGTTCTCTGTCCTCGGCTCCTCTCTCTCAAACGAGCGACGCCAGCAAGCAGAGAGCGGGTCGCATCACATCACAGCTCGAAAACTTGGCGCCTTGTTCAGGAGCAAACTCCCCGCAGTCCCCAGCTTGATCAAGGCCTACGGGGAGCGGGTCTCCGAGATAGCCAAGAGCACTGTCAAGGATCCCCAGAAGCTTTCCCAGTCGTCCCTTCTCGGAGACAAACTTGGCATCGACGGAACATCAATCTGGGCCGCAGCAACCTCTGGCCCGGAAGCGCTATGTGTTCAGCTTCTCGCCTGCGTCCTTGCTAGATTCTGGACGCCCCAAGAAGTCACGTCGATCTGGGTGGAGATTGTGGACAGCAGGAAGCGCGAGCTTGCGGCCAGAGATGGCGACTTTGACTTCCCGGCGCTGGCAGCCATGCAGGCGACCCTCTCGCGCGATCAGCTCGCTGAATGGGACGCCAGCGCGAGAGCTTGGCTGCGGACAGCAGACAAATCCATGTCTAAGCAGCAGACCCAGCTGCGGCGTATTGTCGACAATCTTGGTGCGGCTGTGAACAATACACAGAATACTTATGAGAGTGTCATGTATGCGTGGTTCGAGTCCATGAAGGTTGTGGACAGTCTGGTTGCCGGCATGCCTCAGGCTATCCACAACGGCGCAGCGCTTGTTGGTCTGTCATCCTGGCACATCTACCCCGACATGATGGTGTACATCGACGGAGAGAAGGAGATTACCCAGAACGACCCCCTTGTCAAGAGGGGTGGGCTTCTCACTGTTGGACTCCAGAGCTCTCCTGAATCGGATACGGGGGTTTGCTGGTCATTGCCACTTGCTAAATTCCGATTCTACGGCGACCCGAGCGCTGGATTCGACAAACCAAAGAGTATTATTGGAGCAGCTGATGTTTGTTATTCTTGGATGCCTTGCCAGTCAATGGCCTGATGATGTCGGCGACCGTGCAGCACCCATCTGCGAATACTACACCAAGCTATGGGGGAAGATAAAGGCCGCCGCGAGAACAGAGTCGACAGACAAGCACATACGCTGGATCAAGTACGTGGCGGCTGCGGCGACGACTCTGTTGAGTCTCAGGGGCGAGGAGAAGATCTCAGCGAGGCGATTGTTTGAGTTTGGCATTCGACGTTGCCCGAGCTTTTTGAGTAACGTGGATGCAAGTCCCATGTCCTGGGACATACAAACGCTCGGACTTTCACGACCAGAAATCGTTCTCTGCTTACTTGATGGCCATCGAGAAGTACAAATCTCCTTCATACGCCGAGTTGCACTGGAGTTTGCCGGTCCACAGGCCAACAAGCGCAGAGACCATATAATCATGTGGTATTGGTGGGCAACATGTTTCCCGGACCATCAGAATGGGAAAAAGTACTATCGCTGGCACGACAGGACGGCACTCCCGCCAAGCAACACGAAGAGCCCGGAGCACACGGATGAAATGCCGCCAAATTTGGGATGGGAAATCCACAATAAAGGGGGCAGTGTGTACAAGGTCGTTTGGCGCCCGCTTGAAGCCGACAGAAATGCGGCGTCCAAGGCTGGAAGACCAAATGATGTTTTAGCCCAGATGTTCTGTGTCGGGCAGTCCGTTTCCGTGACCGAGGTGGAAACGAGGTGAGAGATCCCATTCTGGGGGGGTCGTCTGCTTGGGAACTTCGACAAGTTGAAAATCCAGGTGCTCGAAGTGGACAGGGGCGCGATTCGGTTGGCGGACAAGAACAAGCCAACCATGAAGGATCATCGTCTCGACGTCGAAGGCATTTTATGTCTTCTTGATACAGCCCAGCTCAACTTCGCACAGATCACAAATGCCCCGGGCCAGATGCCGGCGCTCTGGCTCTCGGGATGCATGGCGGAGCTTTATGAGAGTCTCGGCACGGCAACCATCTCTCTGGAAGCCGTCACAGGGAAGATATATGATCAAAATTGGGCCAGGTTATTACATCGTGGACTATTCCACTATGATGATGATGGCATCGAAGGAGGAAGTGGCGATAATGTTTTTCGGTCTCACCTCACGATGCCAAAAAACATTGCATTTGCCTGCATTGCCATGATGGAAACTGGCGATCAGGATCTTGACCCGGACCAGCTGTCAAACGTCATGGCGATGGCGATCGGGGACTCCATCTACGCATCTACTTGTCTCAGCTCTGATCCGTATGATACGGAGAGAGCTGATAGCCTCATCCACGTGCTCGGCAACGTCGGAAAGCCCGGCGTTTCGCTCCTCATCCCGCCGCCATCTTCACGAGTCTTGAAGCTCAAGACCAACAAGTGGAATGTCATCACCACGACTCATGGGACGGGTCCAGCCAAGTCGGCCTTTTCAACGAAACATCCCTCCATCTCTTGCTGACCGAGTACCGCGTCCCGTACGTGGTCGAGCACCAGGGCGCGAGAGATATCCAGACCTTTTTCCAGGAGGCTGCAGTCAGCATATACGACAACGGGACATGGTTTGGAGACATCGACATTATGAAGGCAGTCAGCCAGGACTCGCTCGTCACCAGGACCCCGTCAGCGTGCACCCATGGAGTCTTGCCGATGGCTGACCCGGCCGACTGGCAGGCAGTAGGGAAAGAGAAGAGGAAGAAGAAAAAGAAGGCAAAGGCAGTTGCAGCTGCAACCCCAACTGGAGAAAGGGTAGGGGAGTTCCAAAACAGAATCAGAACCATCGAGAACTGGTATGAGCTTCTGGACAAGCCGTCAGCTCCAGTCATCGCAAGGACAAGGAGAAACTGGATGGCCAGTCTGGCATTCACTGGCCTGAACAGCCAGTTAGGGCACAGGACGAGGATTCTACCAGTACACTGTGCGAAAAGGGATGCTTTGCGGACGTCAAAGTTCATGAATTCAATGGCATTTGAGGGGGAGGTTATCATTGAGTAACAGACGGTTTGGTATATGGGATGGTAATAATGAACAGTGATGAACGGGTCATAAGATATGAAACAATGATTTTCTTTGTATTGGGCGCAAGATTTAAAACTCTCTTCGCTATTCTTTGAGGTGCATACGGTCGCTATCGAACTTCGGGCTCTTCATTGGGTATCTAGTTATGCTTCTCCTTTAGCAAGACCAGGGAATCCAGGTCCGATAGCAGTTCGCGGTGACACCGTTTCAGCGTAAGATCAAAGATAAAAAGGTGCAACAGACAGGAACAAACCATATAGCTTGCTTCTACGTAATAATGGTAATCAGGGGGCACACGAATACCGTCGGGTCTAGCAAAGTAACAATACCCCGTGATCCCACGACAGAACCATGAATGACAAACCGCATGAACAGCAGCATAAGTCCAGCATCCGGCCCTCCTCAACATCCATCGTACGGTCACCCTCAGCTCCGCGGTGAATAGTTATCAGGTAATAGCTTGCCTGTAAACGCAAGACCGAGGTTCCGAAGAGAGGTCAAGAACAAGAATACGCCCTACGGCTTGCTGTCAAAGGAGGGCATCCTACTATTAACACAGAGTCACGAACCCAGTGCATCTATCCACAACAGAGCAACAACCGACAAACACACGAGAAACCTACAACCTCCAAAGCCTCGCTCCACAAGGGACATAAACCCAAGATCCGACCCACCTGAACATCCCAACAGCCCGTCTAGCTCAGTGGTAGTAGCGTCGCACTTGTAATGCGAAGGTCATTGGTTCAATCCCAGTGTCGGGCAATGAGATATTACTTTTGCCATTGATTTCCGGTGGTCTTTCTTTCCTTTTTTTTTTTGTTGCGTTCTTCCCCCCAACTGCTATGTCTGTTGGCTTCGGGGAAAAAGGCAAACGCGCGGCTGGCTCGGATATCAAAGAGGCCCGTCTAGCTCAGTGGTAGTAGCGTCGCACTTGTAACCCTAACCCGGACGGGAGAGATGCGAAGGTCATTGGTTCAATCCCAGTGTCGGGCAATCGAGAGAGAGGCACTGCTGTGCACGTGCAGGTGTATGTTTGTTCTTTTTGGTGGTTTTGGAGTTTGTGTGCTGGTGTTGAGGGTGTTTATGCATTGCGGTGGCGAGAGAAGGTTTGGTGGGGGTGAGGAGATTGGATGGAGATAGGGGTCGAAGTCAATAATGGTCGAAGTCAATAATGGTCGGTGCCCCTTTTTGGCACGTAACCTTCCTTCCCCCTTTTCACCGTCATAAACATGCCTAACTTGTACCGTCTGTGTATAGGAATCTTTTTTGGTCTAATTGTTCTTAGTCTACATCCGCAATTGCACAACCATGTCTAATTCCCGCTCCAGTTCTTGACCAGCATCTCGGTGTAAGCCTCGAACCACGCACCCGCCCTGGGTGCCCCAGCGAGCCCGCACAGCCCGTCGCTCTCGCCACCAGGCTTGACCCACACGATGCTGTCCAAGTAAGTGTTGTTCGTGACGGTGGTGGGGGCAGGGCCAAAGCTGGCCTCGACGTTGCACCACTCGCCCCACTCCTTGCGGGCGCCGTTGAGGGCCACGCGGCCCTGGTCGACGATGAAGTGGGCGGGCAGGCCTTCGGCCTCGAGGAAGGGCGCCAGCGACGAGGCGTAGTGCGACTCGTCCCAGCTGTGGCTCCACTCGGTGTAGTTCTCGCGCACGGTGGCGTTGTAGGGGTTGTAGTTGGAGACATTGGTCGAGAAGCCGCGGATCTTGGTCCCGTTGCCGGCCAGCTTGACTACGGTGGCGAACTCCTTGGCCGCGAGCGGGAGGTTGCCGTCCCAGCCGAGCCAACCGCCGTGCGCGGCGTCCAGGTACAGGTGCACGTTGGCGAACTGCAGGCTGGCGATGGCGTAGGCGATGCCGGCCTGGTAGGTCGGGGCCGCCTTGGCGCAGAAGTCGACCGCCATGTTGGTCACAAGGTTGCCGAGCGAGTCGGGCTCGAGCACGATGGCGAAGTCGAGGTCGGCCGCCGCCGAGACCTTGGCCGCGTACGGGTCGATGAACTCCTTCTTGTACCGCTCCAGGCCGTTGTTGGCGCTGCTCAGCTCGCCGGCGCTGTCGCCGGCGCTACAGTCGCGGTCCGGGAGGTTGTAGAGCACCAGCCCGACGATCTGCTTCTCGCCCGTCTTGGCCTGCGCCTCGCGTGCGGATGCGATGGCCGAGTCGATGTTGGCCAGCCCCGCGATGTCGGCGATCCAAACAAACGTGCCGATCTTTTGCACCTTGCGGACCTTGGCTGCGTTTTCCGCGTCGCCTGCCGTGGTGAAGGCATCGTAGGTCTGCTCCAGCTTTTGTGCCCAGCCCGGGTTGGCGAAGAGCGTCTTGCCCTCGAACGGGTTGTCGCTGGTCGTGTTGAGGGAGCACTTCCACTTGCGGCTGGGGGCCGCCGACACGGCGCCCACCGCGGAGAGCGTGGCGATCAGGGATGTGATGCGCATCTTGGGGACTGTGTGGGGGGATGGGAGGCAGTGGTGAAGAGATGTTGTTTGGTGTCTGCCGGCTGATGGGCGTCACGGTCTTATACACCGACGCGATGCACATACTCCACTTACTTGAGCTCGTCATATCCATCTCCGTGCCCTCCTCCGGGGAAGCCAATCTGCACGCATAAAGGCGGAGCCAGGCCAAGGGACTCGGCGGGTGCAAAGAGGCGTCTAAGTAATTGCAGCAAACGATCAATACCTACCTAAGGGCGGAAGAGCAAATAATGCAAGCCCGGCAGGGAGAAAGAGCCGAGGCGGGAGCAGAGTGCGGATTAATCTGCCAAGTTGCTTGGGTGTGGAAGCTTGAGCCGTTGATCCGGGCCGGGAACCCAGGTTTCCCCAATATCTGCATCCAGGCAGGGAGGCACTCAGGGCAGGGAGCCGCATGCCCCATTGAGATGACCACAGCCGGAACGAGCCTGCGCGGAGGAGGCGGCAAGGGCCTGCGCACTGGCCTTGGCGATCAGCAAAGGCCTCGATGCGACCTCGTTTACTACTCCCGCTGCCCTGACAATCTAGATCCGGGGAAATTTAGTTTGGCAAGGTGAGGTGGGCCAGTGAGTGCATTTCTTCTCCCACTCCCTTCCCCGTTTCCGCGAGTTGATAAGCGGCTTGGATGCTTGCCGCTTGGCGGCTAAGCATGGCGTGGAGTATTATTTTGCAGATGCGGCATCCATATGAAACGTCGTATTATAGAGGGTCGAACTATAGGGGTTCAGGTAGGTACGCTTGCAGCTCTGTGATGGCGCAATCGAAAGACAGTTGATGCCAGAATTGTTATTCAATGCCGTTGTTTCTTGTATGCAGTGGTCTCTGGCCGTGGTCGGTTCCGCTGGGATTCAGTTCAGTACTAAGATTGGGCATTTTCTCAGTTTTGCTTCAGGATTGCCACTGCAGCTTCAAAAGATAATAGTGCGCGCTTTGCCAGATGTCAGACTCGGCTTTGGCCAAGAGCGTTGCGATGTGGGTTACGCCGGTGATGATGCGGTCGTGGATTAGTCAAATAGGATTGCGACCAGGGCTTGAACACGATGACGCCCTCGGCTGTCCAGACTGAGGTTTTCACGCTGTCTGATGTTGTTTCAGCTGTCTGGCTGTGAGTACCTATGTGATGACAGGTTATGGAAATGAACTTTAGGTTTTCTTTGGTGGAAGATGGGACCAAACGTGTTCGGTACAGGGTGTTCCTTTCTTTGATACAGTTTCAAGTTCCTTGTGTCATTTTCTATAAGTTGCGTCGTTAAACCATCTGATGGATCATAGGGTTTAGGGCCCAGGGAGTTTAACGTTAAGAACCCATGTGATCAAGAGTAGATAAACTCTGCCATAGCATTTGAAAGGTTTAACTAGGTACGTTCTCCCTTTATTCTCTCAAGCTCTAGAGCTTGCTCCCCTAACTCTATTAGATACAAACTTTCTCCAACTAATAAACAACAACTAATCACCTAGTCTCTATCGACCCATCTACTCCTCCCCAACCCGGAAAAGCGCCAAAGACATGGCATCCGAGAGAACCGAGCCCGTGGGCCGCTTGACGCTGAGCAGTCGCGTCAATCCGCCGTCGTCTCCCAACGGGGCACTGAAGCTGGGCGCCCTCGACCGTGGCTGCCGCGCCATAAAAGACTCATCGCCACTACCCCCATCGTCACTCAAGTCGTAGCTGCCGCCATTCCCGTTCCCATTCCCATTCCCATTCATCCGGCCGGGCACCGACAAGGTATCACCGGCGGCTTTCCGCGGGTTCTGCACCTGGCGTATCGTGGTATTGCTCCGGCGCAAGCTGACCGTCGGCTCGAGCAGACTGGGGTTGATTCCGGCACTGAGAGGTGGAGGCGAGTCCTGCAGCGTCAGCCGGGCCATGGGATTCGGCGATGGTGATCTAGCGGTCCTCAGCCTGCCGGTCTGGCCCCGCGGCGCCTCGAATCGGGCGCTCGACGCGTTCTGACCGGGCAGCTTCGCCTTGGCCTTTTCATCCGCGGCCTCCTTCAACCGCTCGACACTCAACAGACTGAACAAGCCCTGCAGCCACTTCTGCTTCTCCTCGGGCTTCATGGACCGCACGGGCAGCACCTCGGCGCCGGCCATCTCGCGGGTGGGCCAGGGGAAGCTGACGGCCATCTCGCGCAGGGTCAGGCTGTGCATCTGGCGCAGCACGATGCGGATCTGCGGCTCGATGTTGGCCTCGGCGGGGAAGTGCCAGTCGTCGCGCTTCTCGAGCCGGTCGGCGATCTGGGTCATGGCGCCCACGAGCCACTCGAGCGCGACGTTGTCGGGCACCGACTGCGCCTTGCTCAGCAGCCAGCCCAGCATCTCGGGCGACCCGGACTGGTTGAGGATGGGGATGCTGCGCTTGTCGTGCTCGCGGCCCTGCAGCTTCATGATGAAGTCGTTGTACTCCTTCATGGCCGCCAGCCGCAGCCCGACGAACCGGCCCCCGTCCAGGGCGTGCATGATCTCGTCGCCCAGCGCGATGCCCGCCTTGATGCCCGAGTTGAGCCCCCGGCCCGGCCAGAAGTGCACCGTCATGGCCGCGTCCCCGGCCACAGCCACCAGCGCATGCGGCCTCTTGACAAACCGCGAGTCCTCCAGCGGCAGCTGCTGCACGCCCTCGCGCACCGCCTGCACCACGATCGGGATCCTCACCACGTTGATCACCTCGCTCTCCTTGAACCCAAACAGCTTCAGCCCGTCCTCGATCGACCTCCACGTCGCCGAGTCCCTCTTCAACGACGGCGCAAATACCCTTCCTTCGTCAAACCCGTCAGGGATACTCCCATCCTCCCTTTTCAAACAGCCCGGCCGCCCAAAGTGCACCGGCTGCCCGTCCGCCGAGACCATCTTATCCCACTCCTCCTCTGTCAGCTGCATGTTCAAGTACCCCCTCCCGTCATGATCGCTCGCATTCAACAAATACCGCGTCTGCCCCAGCGTGAGAAACATATTCAACGGCTGGCTCCACGGCAACCCGCCCGCAGCGCCGCGATCAAACGCCAGCCCCAGCGCATAACTCCGCCCTCTCTCCTTCTCGTACCCCTGGAAGTAACTCTTCCGTACCCAACTCGCCGCGCCGTCCGTTCCCAACAGCACATGAAAATCTCCACACTTCCCCCCCATCAGCAAATCCTCCCGCGTCACGCCCTCGGCATGTAAATAAATCAACCCCCGAAACTCCTCGTCCTGACACCGCAAGAGGAACCGGTCCTCGACTTTCCGGATCTGGATATTCGCCGAGCCGGGCCAGACCCGCTCCGGCCGGCCGGCAAACAGGGCCTGGTAC